GTGTCACGGCAAGATTATCTTATCTCGTCAACAGACCCACTTTCAAGCTAGCTCGTTTGCTGCTCAAGATCCTTCCCGCGACGTTTTGGATTGTCTCGAGGAGGCCACCACTCTCGCTCTGTCTCAGACGGAACTGCTCAAAGAAGTTCCTGAGAAGCAGCGCGACGCCTCTCAGACTAAGGCCGTCAACAAGTATCGGGCCTATCTGATTTGGCATGAGTCCCTTGTCGCAGCAATCATCAGCCTGCGACAGGCTCAGGAGAGCATCCCACGCCCTGCTGCAACTCCGTCGTCGTCTGGGAAGGCCAAGGTATGATTCCCTGTCTTTGTCCAGATTTTCTTACGGATATTGTTGCACAGGCCGAAGACCCTGTTCCTGAGGCTTCAGGCTCAACTCCTGCCATCAACATTGATTCCGACGTCGAGATGGAGGCCCCCACTCCTGTTCAAGAGAAGGTGCGTCCGTCTTGAGTCTTTGCCGAACACAGGTTGATTATTCTCAGACCCCGCGAACATCTACTCGCAAGACCGTCACAGGACGGTCCGGTTCTCGATCGGTCGACGGTTCTGGTCATGACGACTCCGTAGGGCTCGCGGACGTCTATGGGACTATTATCCGACTCATAGACGAGCACGATAGGTCGATGCGTCTTCTCAGCGCCAAAATGTCGAAACTTCACGCGGAGCAGATGGAGGCTCTAGGGAGCTGTCTCCAGAGTTTCCAGACGTGAGTTTTCACTCAGTTGCGGCGACTACATTTCTGACCAATTACCCAGCCATCGTTCGTTGTCACCGGCTCGAAGAGGCAGCGACTCAGCAACAGTACCACTGATGCGGCCCCGGGTGAGTCTCGCAGTTGTATTCTCGTGTCGCGACACATTGCTTAACCGATTGGCAGCGTCCGCGTCCAACCGAAGGTTTATTGCGGACCGAGTGCATCGACATCAATTGTACCGGTTGCGGCGGTCCATTCCACTCGAGCTCCTCATCGAGGAACGCGACTACGTCGCGTCGTGGCTAGAGGAATGGAAGACCGCGCTCAAGGACGTCAAGGAAGCCATTGACCTCTCGATGTCGAAGAATGCGGCCTAATCTTTCATAATTTGTTCTATATGCACTCTCCTTTCATATGTCTCTTTCTCTCTTGTCACTTATTTATGAAGTCGCGTCTCTTCTTCTCGCGCACCTCCTTTATGACCTTTTTCTTTTAGATACAACCCAGTATAGTCCTTAGGTACCAGCTAGCACCCAAGCAATATACTGAATTCTGTCTAAAACTGAGAGAAGCGACAGCTTGTCGTACGAGAGCCTGCCGCGACAGTCACTTGCGCGCCAGACTTTCACTCGACAGAAGCTGGATCCTCTACAGGGTCGTCGTCGTCGTCGCTATCCGAGTTCTTGAGTTTCACACCCTCGAACTGGTAGTCGCGGACGTCAGATATTTCCTCTACCAACTCATCGAGTTTAGCAGGCGAAATATCTATCAGCTTCTTTATATCTTCAGAGAGTGTCAACTTCTGTCTTGCCAAATAAGGTATTACTCTGAACGCCGCGACTTTCGCATGGAACATCGCACCGTTCATTTCGCAGACTAAGTAAGAACCTCCTTTGGTCTTTCGAACTCTAATCATGGGCCCAAGATATCTCGCTTTCATCTTGTTGTCCAATGATTTTTCAATAGCTGTGTTCCTGATTAACACCAAGTCCCCTGGTACAAACTTGTAATCTTTGATCACATGCTTGTACTCAAGTTTGTAGCGTTGAACCATCTTTAGTTTGGCGTCGCTGACGCGGCTGCGCATATCTTCTATATGGTCGGCGTGTTTTGCTAGGGCGCGTGCCCTGAGACCAATGAGATCCGCAGAGTCGACGATCCGGTCAGGATACTCGACTAGCCATGTAGCTTCGACTATATCCAGAGGGATGGTAGGGTGGGCCCCACATACTGCGAAGTATGGTGAGCAACCCAGCCCGCGACGCACTGTAATTCTATCTGCCCACAAGACTTGTGGGAAGAACCAAAACCATTTGGAGGCGTTCCCCCCTGTAGCTTTGTACAATGACTGTCGAATGTCCCAATGTCCCCTTTCAACAGTGCCATTTGCTTGGGAATTGTAAGGAGATATCCTTATTCCCTTGATACCATATTTCTTCTGTAACCAATTCAACGCCGCGACAAATTGTCCTGCGTTGTCGGTTACAATCCACTTAGGACACCCCCAGCGACACACTATGTCTTCGAGCAAGAAACGCGCGATTGCCTTGGCATTGTCAGCCTGTAGCGGTCGCGCTTCCACGTAGCGGGTCAAAGAATCCCTTGCTGCGACGACATATCTGTATCCGTTGATAGGCTGGCTACCAGACGCGCTCTGCACCAGCTCTGTAAGGGCGTATTTTTGCGCTTTTTACAGAGTTTACTCCTGAACCACTCGGTGTATCGTGTCGCGGATGACAGTGTTGCGCTCAGTAGGACTTAAGGGTCTACCGCCCAGTCGACGACTGTGGATAGTGTCGACAATAGCAAGGCAGTCAGACCACTACTGTGGAATTGGTCTTATGAGTCTACACCAGGCTCAGGGCTATTAGTGACAAACGCTTGGACCGCGACCATTCCCAAAAAGGGATCTGTCGTTGCGTCGACTTCTCAAAAAGGGTCATTCTCTGCGGATGGGAACTTGGGCTGAAGGGCTGAGCAATGCGCGACGTTCTCAATAATAGAACTACTACTGGACAGGACTTGACGTTATGAGGTTGAACCAATCTTGTCGCGGCAACTCCCGGTTTTGGGTTAGACGTTTCCCCAGATCATGCCACGGCAACAACTTGTCACATGTCAGGATCCATCCGATCACGGGACATTGTGGACGCGTCGCGGTGACACTTCCAAGTGTCACGGCGAGTCGCGCCCATACCCAAACACACTAAAATCGACACGGCTAGATCCGTGAACCGAGCCATGTGGGGGACGACTGGCGTGCCTAGGGCCATACGGCTTCTTGGGGCGCCCACGCTGGTCTCACATGCCAAGACATACCCGTTGGCCAATCCAACACATCGTATTCCAAAAGTATGACGCGTGAGTTGGCCCACATCAAAAGTATCATATGGACAATGGGGCGGGGTCCTGATCACTCAGGACCTGTCCGATCGTTCAACTTTCAATTACCCTAAAAGGCAACCGATCTTAGATAGCGTAGCTACTATGCAGTTGTACAGGACTTTACTAAGCAGCGTCGTAGACAGTATAAGTAGCACGTCATTTCTTTGTATTTGTAAGGGCAACTCCTGCCAGCCCGAAGGAAGAGAGCACACAGCACACAACAACCTCACATGAGTCTGAGCACAGAGGGGGATCCTTAGAGACTATCAAATACAAGGGAGGTATACTACTCACCTGAGCACAGAGGGGGATCCTTAGAGAACGGTTCAAGGATCCATGTGCCCAGGTGTCACACTATATAGTCAGCTGTGACAAGTGACTGATGATGATGGGATATCACTGCCATGGGACAATGGCAGATGACAAGTAGATAATGACAAACCCAGATAAGATAGTGAGTGGCTCAGAGGGGCCAGTGATGGCCAGCTCCTGAGACACCAACAGTGGAAGGCCACACTGGAGGAGCCCAGCGGCCAGGCCAGTGCCGGGCCGGCCAGTGGAGACATTGGAGGCAAGGACCAATGCCCAACTGGGAAGAGGGGTGGTGCGGATGAGCGCAAGGGCATCTGGTACGAGCCTGTACGGCAGTAGACCACATCCGCGGGGAGAAGGCCAAAGTGAAGGGGGAGGAGTGCATACGGCAGTAGCACTCCCTGGTGCAAGGAATCGGGCTTGGCTAGACCGCTTGCGGGGATTCGAGGGAGATGGCCGGGGGAAGAAGGGAGAGGGTGGATGTCGGCATGGATGGAGATGAGGATCGGAGGAGGAGGAGGAGGCTGGGTGATCAACAGGTGAGCAGGCACGGGTCGGCAGAGAGGGTGCAGTGGGTCACGTGCATGGTCACGTGCCCAAGGAGCGCGGCGTCCCCTGACAGTATTAGGGAGCTTTCCCCCGGACTGTGAATCACTCTCATTTCAGATTGTTTTGTACAATTTGCGTGTCGCGTGATTCCACCCTAAGAAGTTCTGCTACCCCTGCCCGGTCGCGACGAGTTGCTCCCTGAGCACTTGTAGCTACTGTGATTTGAGTTTGAGTTTTGAGACATCAGAAAGTCGGATTCGCCGCATCTGGTTTAGTCGCGGCATTTAGTGTCGTCGCCTTCGGGCTTTGTTGAGATCGTTCCACACCTCTAGCTTGGCAGTGCGTCGACTAGTTGTGCTCGGGTTGTTTTGTTCAGTTGGCAGTGCGTCGACTTGAGAACTTTGGTTCCACACTTCTTGCTTGGCAGTGCGTCGACAAGTTGTGCTCGGGTTTTGGACATTGGATATTGGCTGTTAGTTGGCAGTGCGTCGACGCGGCATTTTGGTTTACTAGTTGGCAGTGCGTCGACTCAGTACTTTTGGGTTTTGCGTCACCATCTAGACGCTGTCGCTACAAGGGATCTTAATACTTCGTATTAAGTTCTGACTTGTTATATTGTTGGTTGTGGATTGGATTAGTGTTGGTTGTGTTCGTATAGAAGATATTGGTTGAGACACCACTGTTTGCTATATATATATATCCTTGTTGTCGACTTTGTCTTCCGCGACTATTGGATCTGCGTCTATTGAGAGTTGTGATACTGGTGCTCTGTCCACCCCAAAGCCCTCGCATCTTTCACACACTGAGAAGCTGATTACGAGGAGTGTGAACGTGTTTTATATTTGGGTTTACTTTCATAGTAGATTCACTTGTCAGCACGCCCTCAGCATTTCAGCGCGAAGATCGTTGGGAAGCTTCGAGTCGTTCAAAGAATTTCCTGCGCAGTTTCCGATTCTCCCCGAAGACGCGCAACCGGATTTAATGATTCACGCGGCGCTTGTTCAGTTGGGCTATGTCCTTCCACCATCGCAATTCCGGGCACGCCTCATCTCTCTTCTTGATTCCCCGGTCCGCTACAATCATCTCAGACCAGAATCCATGGTATTCAATCCCACTACGAATAAATATGTGGGCTCTATTCCCACGATGCGTCTTATTTATACATTACTTCATAACACCGCTGCGTTTATCACCTGCGCAGGTACGAACAAGATACTTCCTGATGTTGAGGAAGGTCCCGTGTGGGGTATGACTCGTCTAGCCTCCCTCCACATGGGTATGCAGTGCTTTGGAGCTATGTTGTTCGCATGGGCTCCGGAACATTATTTTGCCCTGCGCAAATGGGACACAGCCAAAGAAGCTTCGAACGCCCTTCGATCAGCGTTGTTCGCCCACAGTCACACCATTCTTTGCTGCGCCCTGATAATCGATTGCTGCTGGACGATGGGGCAGGACGGAGTTTGGAATTTAGGGGCTTATTTTGGATCACAGAAGAACGACGTGCTGCATGTGCGTTTTTTTTCTAATAACCCGCATCTTTATTGAAGGAGGTTCACGTTCACCAAGGAGTGCCTTTCTGGTGTCAAACCCGACGGATTCCGCGTCCGAGCACGTGTCCATTCAATTTTGAAATCGAGGACGATCTCACGATCCATCGACTATATCTACGCGCACCTCCTTTCTCCGGACCCCGCCGTTAACTTGACGGTTTTCTTTGATGAGGATCTGGGACGGCAATATATAGCGCTGTGGCCCATGGTTCATCGACCCTTGCACGTCCGACAGGCGCCTTTCGAGCATTATCTCACGCTGCTGATTGCTAACATGAATCAGTCATTTGGACAAATCACTGATTCTATTCGGTGTAACGCCCCCGATGTTTCTCCACAAGTTGTCTTCGCTCAATGGCAACTTTATCTAGACGATGTGGTGATCGCTTCGAATGACAGCGAGGGAGATCAAATGCCGGATCTTATTTCGGTTACTGCCGACGATGGACAGGAAGATCCTCCTGAGTACGAAGGAGATCGAATGACGGAGACTCAGTAAATACTACTATATTTTCAAAAAAAAAGGAAATGTAGTTCTTTGTTCTTCTCGATTGCTCTATAGTTCTTATCCATGTGATCACATCGAGGCAGGGAGGGATATGTCATGGATCCAAGACATTTACAATTTATATTTGTAAATGTTGACTGATTGATTTAATGCTTCTTCGTGATCAATGGATCAAAAACCCTTAGTTACAGTATATGATTTACATAGCCTTTCTCTGCCTTGCTGCGTACATAGCATTTCTGACATTTACTGCGGAGCGCAGCTATAAGCTATGAACACAGCCTTTTTGTGTAAATTATATAAAAGATTGACCCTCTCAGTGGAGGGGCATCTTACCTTTGAATTCACATCTGTTATCCACACTCTGATCTATCCTTGGAGCCTACAAGCTTCACAATACTTATCAATTACATCTACTGTGTTGCTAAACCAGTAGTTTATTGATATATTATTCTACGTTCGCATTTTGCTAAATCTGTGAACTCTAGAGTACTCTAATTGTTGATATATTCAACAATTCCCGACTACCGGATATTGGACCCATTATATAAGAGTCCCAATAAACCTCGCTTTGAGTCCATAGGATTTAATAGTCACAACTGCGTGATTATACAAATAAAACCTATTGATTTGTTAACAGGAATATGCCGCGCTAGATTTCAAGGTGAGCTTGTAGTGGCGCCAGATCACAGACACCCTGACCTCAAATTAGGTTTGAGTCAGCAAAGAAAACATTGAGACAGTCCGTAATCTGTACGCACCGCAAGATCATCCCATCTTTGAGCTTGTCCCTCGAGGATTTGACGGGGTCACAACTGAGCTTTACATTGAGATGGGACAGCCGTTAGTCACACAAGACAGCTGCTGAGACATCTACCTCCAGTTGCTCAGTGGATTCCGGAGACTGGATCAGATTCATGCCATCAATGAGGGATTTGATAGCAGATGGAGATATGCATTGATAATGGCTGAGCATGACTACAAGAACAACAAGATGGAGCTACTGCCTGGGCTTGTGACAATCAACCCAAAAACATATGATCTATGAGAATCTGATCATCTTGATCTTTGATTTTATCTATCAGATTAGATTGATGCTGATTAACTCACACAGATCAATATGTCGTCCAACTCCAACAACATCTTCAATGCTGTCTCCATCTTTGATGGAAAGCACTGGCTTGTATGGTCCGGAACTATGGAGTCCTACCTGGAGCATCAGGGGATCTCATATGTGCTGACCGAAACCGTGCCAACCGAAGTCAAAGCAACTGATGGCTCTGTGACCAACGCATCGGAGATCAAGCAATGGAAGCATGATGATCTCAGAGCCAAAGGCAGCATTAAGTTGTGCCTGACTGAGGGAGTCATTGCTAACATTCCTCCTGCGGATATAGTGTCAGCTGCCAAGATCTGGACGCATCTGAAGACCCAATACGGTGGTGCTCAGTGCGCCAACCTATATGCGTACTTCCAAACCGCGTTGAACGCCAAGTACAACGTGGGATTGCACCCGGATCCACAGCTGCTGGTGATCACTACGGCGTTCGCTCGCCTGGAGAATGAGTCTTTGAGCATCCCTGAGTTCCTCAGAGCAATGATCATTCTCAACATAGCCCGGATTCCCTCCATCACAGAGACTGTTCTCCAGACCTATGTGTGACAATCAACCCAAAAACAAAGTCGAAAAGAGAAGTGAATTCGAAGACTGGAGAATACAACCAAGTAGCTACAGTATTTATACCCAAATCCAGTCTGAGTCATATCTACAACTAATGAGTCATAGGGCTATGTACCGCATGGAGCACTGGTCATGGGTTGTAGTAGAACCTTCCGGAGCATATGTCGCGCAGCCTCGAATCGATAGAGATAACCCCTGGAACCCCTAGCCCGGACCGTCTGATGCCGTGATCCGTGATAAGATAAGTCGTGCCAAGATAAGATAAGATCGTCGATGATAAGATGAAAAAGTGGTCGAACTATGACATTACCCCCTCTCTAGGGTCGATGTCCTCATCGACTAGGCCAATGGGCATGAAGACGTTCTCGTAGGGGTCAAAGAGTTGTTGTTCGGGATATGGAAGGCGCTCGTCCCTGGGCTTGTAACGATGAATGAGATAGTCCCAGTGTCCAGCTTTGAGCGTTGGCAGGAGGCGAATGCGTGTGTCTGGGTTGGATTGTTTCCTCTGCCAATCTCTCAGGACCTTCTTTGCGTGGGTAAGGTGACGTGATGGTTCCCAAGTATTTTCGCTATGCGGCCAGCCCTTCCATTTGACCAAGTACTGTTTTCCTCGGCCGACTTTTCGTTCTTTCACGATTTCTTCGACTTCCCACTCTTCTGCTCCTCCGATCATCTTGGCTACAGGCCTCTTCTCTCGGCGATGGGGGGGTGGTTCGTGATAGGGTGTCAACAGTGACTCGTTGAACACCGGATGTCTTCGGTCCGTGTCCGGTAAATCCAGCTTCCATGCAGCCGCTCCAACCTTCTCCAATATCTCATATGGTCCTAGTCTCTTGTCGCTCATCTTCTTTGATGGTCGATCCGTCTCGATATTTTCCCCTTCTATGTACACCTTCATCCCAACCTTCAACTCCGGAACTTCTTTTCTTTGTTTATCGTAGTATTTTTTCATTTTTTCTTTTGCTTTTTCTAGTGCTGCTTTTGCTTCGTCTTGTATTTCTTTGATTCTTTTTACAAATTCCTCCGCCGACTCGTTCCTTGACTCCATCCGTTGCTCCACTCCCTTCCACGGGTGATATCCGTGATTCGCATAGAATGGCGATATTTTGGTAGACGTGTTCATTTTGTCATTGTATGCGAACTCCGCCATTCCCAGCCACTCCGACCAGTCCGTCTGATGGTAATTGACGTAGATGCGGAGATAATGCTCGATCTCTTGATTCATGCGTTCTGTCTGCCCATCCGTGATCGGGTGGTATGCGGTCCCCGGGTTCATTTCCACGCCCAACATCCGATTCGTCTCCCTCATGAAGCCCTTGATGTAACGCGAATCCCTGTCGGTGATGATCTTGCGAGGGATCCCGTGGTAGCGGAAGACTCGGTCCCTGGTTAATCGTGCCACTCCTTCGCTGCTGATGTCAGTACTAATTGGTTCGACATGGATCATTTTGGTGAAGGTGTCACACCACACATGAATTGCGTCATACCCGTTACTGACCGGCAAGGGTCCGATCTGATCCATGGAGATGATTTCCCACGGCGCGTTTGGAACTGCATGCGGGTGCAAACTCCCTGTCCTGGCTCTTCTGGTCTTGGTCCGCTGGCACGCCTCGCACGTCTGGATGTATTTCCGAATTTGGTTTCCCATCCTTGGCCACCAGTAGTTCCTTTCCACCATCTCCTGCGTTCGGTTGATCCCAGCGTGTCCGACCAAAGGGGTGTCGTGGTGTAGTCCGATGATCTTGTCCCGCAACTCCTCATCCCTTGGTACATAGAGCTTCCCATGATACGTGATAAGCCCTTCTTCCTTCTTCCATCCGACGAGTGACTTCTCTAAGGCCGCCTTGACGCTTCCATCAATTGATCGAATGGCCTTGATTTCATCGATTAGCTGCTGATCCTGTCCCTCGAATGTGACTTCTTGTGATCGGAAGAACTCGGGCTTCAGTAGCGTGACGTCCTTGTTGTCGTTCTTGCCCTGATCGTGATCTGCTCGTCGAGACAGGAGATCTGCCTTGCGGTTGAGTGCGCCGGGTCGGTGTCGTAAGGTGAAATCAAACTCCGCCAACTCCGTGATCCATCGTGCTTGCCGTCGATTGAGCTTCTGCGGCTTCCGGAAGTACTCAAGATTCTGATGATCAGTGAAGATCTCGAACGTCTCCGTGGCTCCCAGTAGTAGCTGTCTCCATTCGTCCAATGATAGCATGATTGCAAGCATTTCCTTGTCGTAGATCTCGTAATTTCGCTCGGTTTCGGTCAGTGCGTGCGAAATAAATGCGATTGGGCGCCAAATGCCGTCTTGGTTTTGGCTCAAAACTGATCCTGTTGCCCCTTCCGAAGCATCGGCTTCCAGACAATATTGGCCAGTGTCATTTGGCAGTGCTAGGACCGCATCCTCCGCGATTCTCTTCTTCAATCCATCAAATGCCGCATGCTCATCTGCACCCCATGACCATCCTGCCTTCCCTGTCAGCCGTGTCAATGGCTTGGCAACCTCCGCGTATCCCCGGACAAAGCGCCGATAGAAGTTTGTGAATCCGAGGAAAGCTTGGACCTGTTTGACACTCTTTGGTTCTGGCCATTCCATCACGCCCTTGATCTTGACTGGGTCCATCCGCATCGAATTGTGTCCAATAATCACACCCAAATATTCGATTTCCGTGCGTTCGAACTCGCACTTTTCGGGCTTCAGGTATAGCTTATGTTTCTGGAGCAATTCGAGCACTCGTTTTGTGATCCCCCGATGTTCGTCCAAGTTTTCTGTGAAAATCAGTATATCGTCTAGATAGACTACCACGTGACCCTCGTTGATCAACTCTCGGAGTATGTCGTTCATCATGTTTTGGAACGTTGCCGGGGAATTTGTGAGACCGAAGAACATAACTAAGGGCTCGTACAGCCCTCGGTTCGTGCGGAATGAAGCCTTCCACTTGTCGCCCTCTTTGATCCGTACATTGTTGTACCCCCACCGGATGTCAAGTTTTGTGAAGAACTTGGCGCCGCATAGATTATGGACTAGTTCGGATATCAGCGGCAGCGGGTACCGATTTCGGATTGTCATTTCGTTCAGCTTCCGATAATCTTGGACGGGGCGTAGCGAGCCATCCTTCTTTTTGACAAAGAAGAATGCTGATGCCATGGGTGATTTTGATGGCCTGATCCGTCCACTGGCCAGGTTCTCTTGTAAGAATTCGTCGAGTTTGACTTGTTCATTGCGTGATAATGGGTACACCTTGCAGTCCACTGCCTTGGAACCAGGTTTGAGCTCGATTGCGTGATCCCATGCCCGTCGGTCTGGTAGCGAGTCGAACGATTCCTTGGCGAATACTTTGACAAATTCCCGATATTGATC